CAGCGGCTAGGCTAAAACTGATTAAAAAACATCAAGCAAAGTTCGCAAGTAGATTCCAGCAAGACGATACAAGTCCTGTTATCTCGCAGTTTATAAAAGTTGCACGATGTGAAACTAACGAGGGGTGACAACCGTGATACGAACTGATCCAAATTACCTCACCAGACGTTTAGAATAGCCTCCTCTCTTGTCGAAGAACTGCAGTATAACACAGTATAAATATAAATTATCATATATCATCATTACATAGTATAAAACAAAGTCGCTGTCGCTGTCTGTCCGTCCCTATGTATGCTTAAATCTTTAAAACTACGCAACGGATTTTGAAGCGGTCTTTTTTAATAGAAAAGTGATTCTAGAGGAAGGTTTATATGTATAATACATGTACACTAACAATTTTTATTTTCATTATTTTATATACCTTACTATGGACTCGCCCCGGCTTCGTCCTGGTGTACATATTTTATACATATAAACCTTCCTTTTGAATCACTTTATCTATTAAAAAACCCGCTTCAAAATCCTTTGCGTTATAAACGTATTTTTTTTTGTATTAATATTTTTTCCCTACCTTCTTTCCTTCTTTTAAAACATCGATAAATGACTGTGTCATATATTTGACATATCCTAAGAGTCTGATATCTACATGAATAAAAATATTTTGATTTTTGCCATCCAAATGTAAAAGAGCAACACGCAAGTTTCTTGCTCGTTCTTCTTGTGATGAGATAGCTTTCCGAATGAGCGGTAGATTAAAAAATGTAATGAATGGTTCAGGGTCGGCAACGCGTATGTGACACCCCTGGTGTTTCAGGCGTCCATAGGCTACGGTAACCGTTTACCATCAGATGGGCCGTATGCTTGGTTGCCACCTAAGTGGTATAAAAAAAATGACTATTCAAAAGTGCTTCAATGTAAGTTTATTTGAATAAATGATTTTCTATTCTATTCTATTCCAGTAACCCTGAAACGAACTGAATCTCAAGGGTGAGGTTATAAGGTTCAAACTTAAGTAGTACATACTGACATAGGATTGATATGTGGAAAGACAAAAAGCTCCGGAGAGCAAAGACTGAACTTGTACATAAAGTTTACTGTATCTTGTACTTATTTATTGTATACCTGTACCCACAGATTCTCAAGCGCGAAATTTATTTCGGCTTTTCTACACATCCTTACTTCCTTACTAATATTATAAATGCGAAAGTAACTCTGTCTGTCTGTCTGTCTCGCTTTCACGCTAAAACTACTGAACCGATTTAAACGAAATTTAGTACGCAGATAGTCTAGACGCAGATGAAGGACATAGGCTACTTTTTAATGCGTAAAAAGGGTTGTAAGGGGTTCAAAATGGAAATACAAGGTTATCTTTATGCGGTTGAATACTTATTTGTCATCTTTTCATTTCACTAGCTAACAACCAATCAACACATCGCGTGCGTTTGCGCCAATAAGGTATCCATCACAGAGAACAATACCACAGATAACATAATGTAAAACGAAAGATCTTGCCGGAAACATGACGTTGACGTTTAGTGAAAATATTTTTAAATATGAATGCATGCTCGTAATTATAGACTATTAAATATTTAGTACTCATTGTAGAGAATGTACAGGCTCTGTTTAGTTCTAAGTTAGATGTCCCTCTATCAGTTATCCAGCGCTATACATTATTTATATTATTAACCGGGTCTTAACACTTTATTTGCGATAAAATTATTTGTATTGGAGCCCCGGTTATCTATACATATAAATAAAATTGGAGTGTCTGTTTGTAATATTGATATAACCATTTTTACTACATGCTTATGAATAAAAATGCGGAACATACACCAAAAAACCACTTTTTAAAATTTTTGTCTGTACATGCACATGAATATAAATATGGTACGTACACCAAAATAACATTTTTTACATTTTTTGTCTGTCTGTCTGTCGGTCTGTTTGTTCCGGCTAATCTCTGAAATGGCTGGACCGATTTTAACGGGGCTTTTTTTGGCAGGTAGTTGATGTAATAGGGAGTAACTCAGGCTACTTTTATTTTAGAAAAATAAAGTCAAATTCCACGCGGACGAAAACAGCTAGTAATATATATAATGTATATTAAACACGAAAGTTTATAAATATCAAGCGCCTAAAAATCCTATTATTTCTCTCTAATATTGCAGAAGACTTTGTAGCAGTGCCCTAAATCCGTCTTTTAATAAATAATCGGCCCCCAGTGGATGGTAAATCATGAATTATCATGACACTTAAAGTATGTGATTATATAAAAAAACATTAAGATATAACTCATAAAATACACTTCCAACTTATAACTTTTTGTACTCTCATACGTATAAAAAATAAACTTTGATCATTAGTAAGTTTGGTTTTAAATTCTTTGAAAACTTCTTTCTTTCTTACAAAATTTGTGGCCCTTGTGGTTTCTTAGGTATAAATTATTACAGTCATTTATATAGCGCATATCGTTTCGTTAAAAAAATCCAGTATAATTACAATAATATAAAAATTTCAAGACAATTCACACAGCGCCATCTAGACCCAAGTTAAGCTAGCTAAAGCTTGTGTTATGGGTACTAGATAACTGATACATATACATAGATATATATTTTTTATAAATACATACATATTATACATAGAGAACACCCCGACAGATACAAACAATCATACTCATGAATACAAATGTTGTGCCGTGCAAGGAATCAAACCCGCGACTATCGGTCGTAAAGCGGTGTGCTAGACTGCTAGACCATAGAGGTCGTCAAATGGTCGTTTAATTGGGAAACTTTAGGTCACGTTCATAATTTTTCCATAAATTAATGTCGTATTATTAATTTTTTATTTATTAATCCTTGGAAACTAGATTTTTGTCAACGTGCAAAGCATTCCTGTGTTTATCCAGTTTTATATATATTCCAGTTTTATATATATATATTAAAAACATCTATTACAAAGAGCAACACACAAGTTTCTTGCTCATTCTTCTTGTGATGAATCTGCATTCCGAATGAGTGGTAGAATCAAAATATGACTATTCAAAAGTGCTTGTAATGAGTTTATTTGAATAAAGATTATTTCTATTTCTATTTCTATTTCTATTTCTATTTCTATCATCCATTAAAAAAAATATCTACACATAATAACAGCTAACAGCGATTTATTAATATGTAATTTATTATTTGTTTACAATAACTTCAAGTGTTATAAAGTACATTTGAAACTTTCCTGCGTACATATTATTAAGCAATCCACAACCTAATATATTTATGAAGCAGACTAGACCCACGCAAATAACTTGGTACGAAGTTCAAATTTACGAATAACCAAACAGTTTTCTATCAATATCGAAATCTATAGATATCTATATGGTATGGGCATGTAGATCATATCCTAAGGACGGTGTTACATATGAATGTGGATGGTTATAAGGGTAGAGGAAGACTGAAAAAGAGATGGATGGACTGTGTGAAAGATGATATGGTGAGAAAGGAAGTAAATAACGGGATGACTGCGAACAGAGATGAATGGAAGAGAAAAACATATTACGCCGACCACAAATAAATGGGATAAGGAAGACGGAGATGATGACACGGTATCTATATATTACAAATAAAAAAAATTATTTTATACCTGTACGAGGGGGGAAGTGTACTATTAATAATGTGGACTAATGATCCCATTGCTAGCAATGTACCATATCAGATCGACCTCCACGCGGTTCCCCCTGGAAACCATAGTGTTTTTTTTTTTACTGGATTGTTTGGGCTATTGTCAGATGTGTAGCACCTGTTGCACTGCGACCTATATAGATCTATTGTGCTCGCCCTTTTCAGAGTTCGCTACCTAGACCCGTCAGGGACAAGAATTGAAGGATATTCTCAGGAGCGATCGTTTTTATCTCCTCGGGAAAGAGTGTAAACTTTCCAAAGGAGATATTTCGTTGATGCATGAGTGGGTAACCATAGTGATACATTCCTGGTGTATTTGCCACGTTGGGCTAACTGATCAGACTTCATGTTCATCCTATCATCCTTCACTGGTGCCCCGCCAGCGTAAACCGTTAGCGCTGGCCATTACATTATCAATAAAACAAAAAAAATACCTGCACGAAGCCTTGGCAGGTCGCTATAAGGTATAAAACAAATCACTTCCCATTGTCTGTCTGTATCTATGTATGTATGTTTTGATCTTAAAATACTATGCACATTTTGAAGCGTTTTTTTTTAATAAACAGAATAGATAGAGGAATGTTTAAGCTATGTAAGATCCCATTACTACTGAGCACGGATCTTTAATCGGTCGATAACCTATAGTCCACGCGGACGAAGTCGCGGGCGAAAAGCTATTATATTAATACGTGAAGCAGAAACTTTGTATCCCTTTACACGAACATTGAGGATTAAATTTTGCACACTTATATCACACGTTTATTAGCTAGGCTATATGTTATTCTGATATATAAGCTATATTACTGTAAAGTTTCATGAAAATCCGTTCAGTAGTTTTTGCGTGAAAGAGTAACAAACATCCATCTGTACTCACAAACTATAGCGTTTATAATATTAATAAGATATGGAGAAGGCCTGCAGAAAATTAATTAAAAAAAATACATTAAATGGTTAGACAAAAAGTAATGTTTTTCTCTATTTATTTAATGTACTTTTTGTGTACTCACACACTAAAAGCATTACACAAACTACGATGTCTTCGACATACAAACACATACATAATAACAATAATCTCAGGACAATTCACACAGCGCCATCTAGTCCCAAGTTAAGCTAGCTAAAGCTTGTGTTACGGGTACTAGATAAGGTAATAGATTGTGCCGTGCGAGGAATCGAACCCGCGATCATTGTCCGTAAAGCGGTGTGCTAGACCGCTCGACCACCGAGGTCGTCATAGCTAACTAACTAGCTTTTTAACTTACAACAAGTTTGTTGTAAGTATAGAAAAACATAAAATATAAAAACAGAAAACAAGGTAAATTTTCTTACCTGGTACAGCGTACACGAGAATAAAACTAAACGTGCCAAATAGCTCTTTCCTGATGGAATCCGGCCATTTTTCAGTACAAAACTCAATTGTACCCTCTGCCCAGACGCCCTGCAAATAAATTAAATGCCATTATATATAATTCCAAACTAAACTAAATTTATAGTATAACTTTTGTATTTCATATTTTTTTATTATATGATTCATTTACATGTATATGTATATTTACATTACATGTATATCATAAACTGTATAGTAAATATTGTAAAGTAAATATTGTTGACGACCTCAGTGGTATAGCGGTCTAACACCCCGCTTTACGTCCGATGGTCGCGGGTTCGATTCCTCGCACGGCAGAAACATTTGTATTCATGAGTATGATTGTTTGTATCGGTCTGGGTGTTTTCTATATATAATATGTATGTATTTACAAAAAAAAATATCTATGTATATGTATCAGTTATCTACTACCCATAACACAAGCTTTAGCTAGCTTAACTTGGGTCTAGATGGCGCTGTGTGAAATATATATATAGTAAAGATTTAATCTAATTATAATTATGACATAAAATGTGTGGTCCAGAAGAATGATATAATCATGTTTATTATTGAGTACAGAATATAAGTTCTGATTTGACCATAACAATCCCACCGACCTACTGACTTTAAACAGAACCACCATATTGTGTGCACAGACCAGGTCGGTTTAGATGCTCGAAGTAAAAAATATTTATAAGTTAAGGAAGAAATTAATAGTCTTTTATTGTTGCTGCCGCCCCGTAATAATAGATACAGGTGTGGAGAAATGGAAGTACTTTCATCTTGCTATTTAAAAAAGAATAGAATCTAAACTTGGATGTTTACGAGTGTGGATAAATGGATGTTCATAACTCCTAAATGGAAAAACTGAATGGATTTCAATTATACTCTTATTTGACTCTACATGGTAGGGATCAAAACTACTTCCATTTTTCGGAGGTAACGTAACAATCTTATTAATATTCTAAACGTGAAGGTTCGGGTGTATGTATTTTTTTTTATATCACAAGGGACAAACGATCATGCGGCTCACCTGATGGTAAGTGATTACCGCCGCCCATGAGCACCCGCAACACCAGGGGAATTGCAAGTACGTTGTCGGCCTTTTAAAAAGGAATAAGCTCATTTCTTGAAGGTTCCAATATCGTATCGGTTCGGAAATACCATTGCTGGAAAGTGATTTCACAATGCATTTGCAATGTATGGGTGCTTGTTACTCTTTCACGCAAAAACTACTGAACTAATTTTGATGAAACTTTACACTAATATATTATATCTTATCCATCAGAATAACACATGAGCTATAAATTTCAATCTGGTGAACCTCCAGTGTTTTCATATTTTCATTATGCTTCTTGAGAAAAATTATTCAGTTTCATAAACATAGTAAAAGCTTAGGGTTAGATTATCTTACTCGTATATATAAAATTCTCGTGTCACAGTTTTCGTTCCCATACTCCTCCGAAACGGCTTGACCGATTCTCATGAAATTTTGTGAGCGTATTGAGTAAGTCTGAGAATCTGCTAACATCTATTTTTCATCCTCGTAAATGTTAGGGGTAGTCCACCCCTAAATTTTTTTTTTAAGGCAAAACAACGTTTGCAGGGACAGCTAGTTATATACATATTTCTATTTTAAAAGTAAGTACAAATTAATCAGACGAAGATCAGTAATAATCCAGTACAACATATTATAGGTAATGAGCCTTTCTCATACAAGTTTAGAACATTGTTAATAGTTGAGTTATTGACATATTGCCTTCCAATATTAACTTTGAGTTATTGAACTATGCAAACACTGGCGAGAATGATGATACTGTAAAACTATGGTAACACCGAAATAGTAACTTTACAGATAACAATCATAATTCACTGTCATACTCGTGAACGGGTGCAGCTTATGGGGACTGGTCTGTTCAGGTTACGAACACTGATTAGACTTTTTGCTTTTGCAATAGCATATGCGGGTGGTCACTCTATTCTCCCGAATTTGATTTTAAACTGAATCTGTATTATTGAAAACATGTATAACATTTATTTGAAAAGAATACGAGCTGAGTTTCTTGTCAGTTCTTCTCATATCGAAATCATTCCGAACTGACGGTAGATTTGACATATCATAAGAGTCTGTAATAGACCTACATGAATAAAGATGTTTAGAATTTAAATTTGAACTGTTATTAACTCTTCTTCTTTAGGTGCCATCTACCTATCGGAGGCGATCATTATGGCGATCTTTACTTTGTCCGCGGCGGTCCTGAAAAGAGACCTGCTGCTCATCCCAAACCACTGCCTGAGGTTGTTTAACCAGGAAGTACGGCGTCTGCCTGGTCTTCGGTAACCCTGGATTCTTCCTTGTATTATTAATTGCTGAAGACTGTATTTTTCATTCCGCATTATGTGACCCAGGTATAGCTATGTTATTACTAGCTATAGTAGAAATAACATATTATATATTTTTTATTGATTAACTAATAATGAAATAAACAAATTAAAACCTTACTATTCATTACATAGTATAAAACGTAAAATAAAATATGTATGCTTAAATCTTTAAAACTACGCAACGGATTTTGAAGCGGTTTTATTAAACAGATAGAGTGATTTAAGAGGATGTTTTATATATATAAGACATGTACACCCTTGCGAAGCCGGGGCGAGTAGGCAGTTACGTAACATAAAACAAAGTCGCTGTCGCTGTCCGTCCGTTCGTATGTATGTTTAAATCTTTAAAACTACGCAACGGATTTTGAAGCAATTTTTTTTAATAAATAGAATGATTCTACAGGAAGGTTTATATATATAATACATACGGCGAAGCCTGGGCGAGTAGCTAGTCTACTATACAATTCAAATTCAAAATCAAAATATCTCTATTCATGTAGGTCTATTACAGACTCTTATGATATGTCAAATCTACCGTCATTTCGGAGCGATTTCGATATGAGAAGAACTGACAAGAAACTCAGCTCGTATTGTTTTCAAATAAATTTTATAATTTTACAATAATACATGTATATAATACATGTACATAATACATGTATATAATACATGTATATAATAAATTACTTGATATATAAATTACTAGTTGTCATTCACAAATGACAATACACATACAAACTTATATCACCTGATATAGTACTAATTGAATTGTTACTCCATGTTATGCTAATGAGAAATTATTAAACAGCCGGTGGTATATTACTCTACGTTTGCTTTTACGTACTGCGAGACGGGGTTGAAGGAGGGATGAAATATTGGGGAACAAATAACTTATATAACGATAGAGATGCCTTAATTGTGTCTCATAACAGGAATACAACTGAGATTGCTGTCCCAATAAACGTATCACTTTTCCATTTATTATATAAATATCTTTTGCCTGCGTTAATTTATCGCCTTAGGGGTGGAATTTATAAAAATTCTTTCTCAGGGGATGCCTACGTCATAGTAGATTTATGCATGCAAAGTCAGCCCGATCGGTTGAATATTGACAAAGTTACATACAAATTTCATCCCCTATTTTATTCCTTTGGGGGTAGAATTAATCAAAATCCTTTCTTAGCGAATGCCTACGTCATAACATCTATCTGCATGCCAAATTTCATCCCGATCCGTCCAGTGGTTTGGGCTGTGCGTTGATAAATCATTATGTCAGTCGCCTTTGAGTTATATATATATTACTGTTTTAATAAGTTCTAATAATCTCAGGACAATTGACACAGCGCCATCTAGACCCAAGTTAAGCTAGATAAAGCTTGTGTTATGGGTACTAGATAACTAATACATATACGCAGATAATTTTTTTTTCGTTAATACATACATAATATAAATAGAAAATACCCAGACCGATACAAACAATCATACTCATGAATAAAAATGTTTGTGCCGTCCGAGGAATCGAACCCGCGACCATCGGATGTAAAGCGGTGTGTTACACCGCTAGATCACCGAGGTCGTCAAATCTGTAATGAAAGACTTGGACGCTGACATAGTCCTGGTTTACAAAGTAAATGTCGCACAGGGAACGATTGAGAGAGCTACACTCGGAGTTTCTATAAGGGACATTTGTTTTTTCGAACTACTCTAATGCTGTTGGCCGCAACTGGGCTTTACAGCTTCACCAGACCATAGGGGGCGAGTGCTGATGGCACTCCAAACCCGTGGAAGGACTTATGGAGCCGTAGGCCAACTCCCACTTGACGAATACGACTTTAGTCTGAGGGCACCGCTAGGGGTTCGAACCTCGGCTCAGGCGCCATAACATCGGTCCCCGTTTGAATTGGATGAGGGTTCGATCGGAATATAAGGGACATGAACCCATGATGATTTCTATACTACTATGGTGGCAAACAAGCATACGGCCCATCTGATGGTAAATGGTTACCGTAGTCAATTGACGCTTGAGACAAGGGTGTCTCGTGCGCGTTGCCGACACTAAAGAAACCTTAACATTATATATTCAAACCTGAATCTAACTAAAACCCTAATCCAAAAACAAAAACAAAGAGATTGTTGTTATTCAAAATTATTTTCTGTTTGTTTGTTGTTTTAAAAAATCTGTTTATTTCATTTTCATCAAAATTATTATCCTTAAATTAAATCCTTCAATGAAAACAAAACCCTTTACTTAAAAATTATCTGATGGTTTACATTCAACGGTGAATTTTTCGCGTAATAACCCGACAAAAAAATACCCTCGAATCGAGATTTTCTGCTGTAATCGGATATAACAATAAATAACTGCCGGATATAGAAACATTCATATTTCAACATTATTATTACCTTCAGATCACTGGGTATGTACTTAAGCAAAGTGTGTATTTATGTACTATATTTTATAACTATCCATATATGGGTTACTTATGTTACCAAAAATAAGAACACGTTTATACCACAGTAACAAGTTATAGCTGCTGCATAAATATCTATAATAAATCATCTACTATAATTACAATTGTCTTATTATAATGGTTCAAAGACAAACTATTGAAATGGCTGAGAAATAAGTGTTTTTCTTCTTGAAAGATTATTTTACATGCAAAATGATGACATAATATAAATTGTTATTG